AAAGAATCCATATTTAGCATACAGTAAGAAATAATGGTTTTTTTGAGGTATATAGACATAGGGTTTTCTCTAGAATCTATGACCTCTCCATGTGTATCTGATTACGTTTACAGTGCCACACATAGTTTCCCTTCCACTGAGTGGACTTTAAGTCTAATTAGATATTATTAAGTCTAATAGCTGTTGATTACCTTCAAGATAAACGTTCCACTACTGCACTGATATAGTTTGCTATGCTGGACATTGTTGTGGTTATTAGGCTTTAAAGTTAGGGTTGGTCCATTGATTGATTTTCTCTTTTAGCAGCTTGCATAGTATCCTCTAAAACTATGAGAGCTAGTCTTTACGGAGGAGGCTTCCAGGTTAGTTCCAGCACCGTTGCTCTAAGTCTTATGTCCAAAGTATGTCCTGTCTTCAACAATAGGATCTTACCTTCAAGATCTGGGACGTAATCAAGGGCTGTGGCAATAGTTTGTGTTATTTGGGGAGTCTCTTGGACTACCCTGATCAACAACTCAAAGGGAGGTTTTTCCTATCTGGTACTGTGTGTTTTTATCTATAATTCTTATTAATATACATGATAACTACAATATTTGATTTAAGATCACCAAACATGAGTGACTTTAATACAAAAGTGCCCCAATGAACTTAATGAGATTTGTTCTTTCAAAAATGAATATAATTTGTAGCTAGAATAAGTTTTATTCTTCTCTCCCTTAGTTTATGGCTTTTGTTTAATAAATGTAACCACTGAGAAAACACATTGAAAAGAAAGTAGGGGGCCGGTATGGTGGTGCATGGCTTCAATCCCAGCACTCGGGAGGCAGAGGTGCAGAGATATCTTTGAGTTCGAGACTAACCTGTTCTACTTGGTAAGTTTCAGGTCATCCAGGGCTACATAGTAAGATACTGCCTTAATTAAAAAAAAAAAAAGCAGATAGGGACTGAAGAGATTTGCTATTGTAATGTCAATTGAGTTTTGAATTCCTTCTAAATTATATTTCAAAAAATATGTCATCAAAATTGTGTCTAGTGATCCAGAAGATGATTAGTGGATTAGATCCCCCTTCGCACTGGGGAAAGCAGAGAATTGGATGCCTCCTAAATTACAGAATAGTTTGTTACTCAGTCACAAGGCCTTTACCAGGGCTCATTAAATTAGCATAACTTTTTCACTTAAAGGCATCATATTTTATCCTTTGGGCTTAGAGAAGATTAAGAAAACTATCAATCTTAATTTCTTTACACTTCTGCCAACTTTTTGGGTAAAATGTTCTTAATCATGCTTTTAGAATATTTTTGTCAAAACTTGGAACTGAACATGCAGCATATTCAAGTTATGGAAAATATCTTCCAAATAACCTAAACAGCTGTCAGGCCAGTTCACCTTTTTTACTTCAAAGTTTAATTCACTTTTTAAAAGCCTGTGTGTGTGTGTGTGTGTGTGTGTGTGTGTGCCTGTTTATGTGTGTGACTGTGGGAATGTATGTGCCATGGCATGTATGTGGGATCAGAGGACAACCTTGGGTGTTGGTGCCTGTCACCTTGTTTGAGAAAAGGTTTCTTGTTCACTGCTGCATATGTCAGGCTAGCTGGCCTGGGACTTCCACAGATTCTCCTGTTTACTTTTTTGTCTCACCATAGAAGTGCTTTGTGTCCAGCTTTGTGTGCACTCAGGAGATCCAAACTCAGGTCCTCATGCTTGTGTGGCAAGTGCTTACCCTGAGCCACCTCCCCAACCCCTTTAATTCATTTTGAGTTTCAAATTAATATGTTAACTTGTATTTCAAAAGTTATTAAAAATCATTATGAAGTACTTTCAGGAAAGTACCACAGAAAATTATTCAAAATAACTAAATTGATATAATTCATTATAATTCAATTATAATTAGCATGTTTTTCAAATATGATAAACAAGTTGGTAAATAAATTTACTGGGTTTCATTACTTATAAGATGTGTTACTAATTTTTTTTTGGTTGGGTAGCAAGTAGTACCATAAAAGGCATAGTATTCTTTTGGCATGCATCAAAAATAAATAGAAAACTCCATCAAGAGAATTAAAATCAAAAGGGAAAAAAATCATTGCAAGAGGCATATCTGATAAGGACCTGTATCCAAAATATACAAAGAATTCTAAAACTCAATAATAAGAAAACAACCTTGCTTAAAAGAGGGCAAAAGATCTGAAAAGATCTCAGCTCACTAAAGAAATTATAAATTTGGGGCTAGGGCAGTACATCCTTTGGTAGAGTGCTTGGTTAGCAAGCAGGAAGTCCTAGGATGGATTTCCAGCATACCATGAAGCAAGCATTGTACATGTCTGTAATTCCAGCACTGGTGAGGTAGAGGCAGGAGGAGCAGAAATTCAAGGTCGTCCTCATCTACATAGCAAGTTTGAGGCCAGCCTAGGACACATGAGACCCTGCCTTAAAAAAAAAAATCAACATCATAAATCTTCAAGGAATTGCAAGTTAAAATAATGGGAACCATGACACCACCTAGCATGGGTAAAACACAAAATTCTGACAACCCTAGTCCCGGAGGAACACAATGAAGAAGCAATAGAAACTTCTACTAGCCAGGACTGATGGTGCACACCTGTAATCCCAGCACTGGGGAAGCCAAGGCAGGAGATCACACATTGGAGACATTGTTTAAAAAAAAGAAAATGGTGTCGGGGGCATATTTCTCTTCATTGCTAGTTGGAAAGCAAAACCAGTCTGGAAGTCAATTTGGCAGTTACTTAGAAAACCTCCCATACTCTGGGTGATCCAGTAGCTTTGCTTCTTGGTATTGACACAAATAACTTGAAAATGTGTGTCTATGGGCCTGGAGAGATAGCTCAGCAGTTAAGACCATTAGCTGTTCCTGCAGAAGATCTGGGTTTGAATCCCAGCACCCACATGGTGGCTAAGAACCATCCATAACTCCAGTTCCAAGGGATACAATGCCCTCTTCTGTCCTCTGGGGTGCACTTACACACATGCAGGCATAACACTCCTACACATAAAATAAGAATATATAAAAAAATTCTAATAAAGAAAATGTGTGTCTATACAAGCCCTACATACAAATTTCTATAGCAGTTTCATTTATAATTGCTAAAACTTAGACGCAATCAAGACATCCTTTGATAGATGAATGGATAAACTGTGGTTCATCCAGACAATGAAATATTAGGGCAAACGGAGTAAGCTAATTCACAAAAGGCAGAAAAAATTTTAAACACATATTGCTAAGTGAAAGAATCCATCCCCAAAAGGCAACATCCTGCATGATTCCAAATGTATGATATTTTAGAAAAGGTAAAACTGGTGCTGGAGAGATGGCTCAGCGGTTAAGAGCACTGAGTGTTCTTGCAGAGGATCTGGGTTCAATTCCCAGCACTTATATGGTAGCTAATAACCATCTATAACTCCAGTTTCAGGGGACTCTGACACCGTCTTATACACATAAAATAAAAATAATAAAATTTTTAATTAAAAAAGATAAACTATGGAGAGAGTAGAAAAGAATCCAGTATTGCATCTTTATTTGGGGGGAGATGGAGAAGCAGGATGTACACAGGGGACATTTAGGGCAGTGAAACTGTTCTATGTGATAATGCCACAGTAGATACACATTCTCATACCTTTGTCAAAACACTGAAAAAAGAAAACTCTGTGGATTATGCATTAGTATTGGTTTCCCAGTTGTAACAAATGTGTCCTACTAATAAATGAAGAAACTAGGCAGAACCTATATGAAATCCATACTTTTTATTCAGTTTTTCTGTAAACCTACAACTGCTCTAAAATAATCTATTCATTTAAAATTCAAATGCCATTAATTTTGTTGAAATACATGATCAAAACTTTTGCCATAAATTAATGAAGAAAAATATATGCACTACTTAAAATTAATGAATCCTGAAGTGAGCATATTGCTTCTTATTACTTAAAGTTGCTAAAGATGAATTTTGACATAATTAGAATAAATATTTCATTATATGACTTGATGTGTTGCCTGTTTGAGACAGTTTCACTTTGTAGTCCAGGGTGGCCTCAAACTAGAGATTCTCCTGCCTCTGCCTCCCAAATGCTGGTGTTGCAAGAATATGTCACAATGCCTGGCTCTTTGAAAATTTTAACTACATACTTTATTGAATAACATACACAGGAAATACAAAATAAATCAAAATTTTATCCATGAATTCATCCTCAAAATTCGGTACTGTGGTGGTTTAGATAAGAAATGTCTTCCAGGGGCCCCAAGTATTTGAATACTTGGTCAGTTAGTAGCACCATTTGGGGAGGTTTGGGAGGTGTGTCCTTGTTAGAGGAATCACATCACTGGGGGTGGGCTTTGAGAATTCATAGCCCCATCCTGCTTGCAGCTTGCCTCTCTCTGTTTCCTAGGCCTCCTTGAAGATGTGAGTGCTCAACTTTCTGCTCCAGCATTCTGCCTATGCCCCCATTCCTCCCCATGATGGCAGACTCTTTTTAAAAATTTTTTATGTATTATTTTTTTAATATTTTATTTTTATTTTATGTGTATGAGTGTATTGCCTGCATGTATGTGAGTGTACCCATGTCATGCAATGCCACGGAGTTCAGAAGAGGTCTTTGGATTCCCCTGGAATTGGAGTTAAGGTTGGTTTGTAGCTGCCATGTGGGTGCTGGGAATCGAACCTGGGTCCTCTGCAAGAGCAGTCAATGCTCTTAACTGCTGAGCCATCTTATGTATATGAGTGTAATGCCTGCATGTAGGTAGGTGCACCCATGTCATGCAATACCCGTGGATATGAGAAGAGGGCATCAGATTCCCTGGAACTGGAGTTACAGATGGTTGTTAGTCAACATGTGGGTGCTGGGAATCGAACCTAGGTCCTCTGCAAGAGCACCCAGTGCTCTTAACTACTGAGCCCTCTCTCCAGCCCTGGTGACAGGCTCTTACCCTCTGGAACCGTAAGTCCAATAAACTCTTCCTTCTATAAGTTTCCTTGGTCATGGTGTTTTATCATAGCAACAGAAAAGTAACTAATACAGGTACTCATGAAAAACACTTAAAATTTGATACTTAAATATGTTGCTATAGATTACAGATATCAAGACCCTCTTTTTTTGCTTTTATTTTTTTTTAAAGGATGGAGTGCTTTACAAATCTGTGTCATCCATGCACAGAGGTCATGTGAATCCTCTCTGTATCATTTCAGTTTTATTTTGTTTATGGATTTTATTCATTATTTTATTTTATGTATACAAGTGTATTGCTTATATGTATGTAAGTGCACCCATGTCATGCAATGCCCCCAGAAGTCAGAAGTGGGCATCAGATTACCCTGGAACTGGAGTTACACATGGCTGTTACCTGCCATGTGGGTACTGGGAATCAAATGCAGCTCCTGTGGGAGAGCAGCCAGTGCTTTTAACTGCTGAGGCATCTCTTGAGTTCCTCATTTCCGTTTCAGAATCTGTGCTCTTGATGGGAGTACTAGGGCATCTTTAACAGCAACCTTATCTGGAGAATCTGTTGGGACGGGAAAAAGAGGTGAGCTTTTAGGAAAACGGTTGTTATTTCTCCATCCACTCTCTGTCAAATATCTCAGTACCTATCAAAATACCTACTTCAAATGCTGGCTTCACTCTTAGAAATGCAGGTTTCTGGGCCTTATTACTGTTCTTCAATACCGTAGCCTTTTCTGTGGGGCCTGGGAGTTTCTCATTCCCAAGACCAGCCTGATCCAAGATGGCTGCTGAGTCCATCTTCACAGAGTGAGATAAGGACTACTGGGAACACAGCAGATTATCAGGCAGATCTTTTTAGCGAAAAGATGAAAGAAAGCTACATGTCCAAAATCAAATCCCACAATGTTATCCAGCGCCCTTACATGAAACCCCAGTTAGAAGACCACTAATAGAGAAAACGTTTTAAAATGCAGATTTACCTTCCTATTACCTTCTAACTAGTCTCCTGCTGAGCTAGGGGTAAGAAAAGAATTCTGAAGCTACAATTATTGCCTTTATTATTATTGTTTTGTTTTGGTTTTTGTTTTTTTTTTTGTTTTTTTTTTGAGATACTGTCTCACTGGTCTGAAACTCGCTATGTAGACCAGGCTGGCCTTGAATTTACAAAGATCCACCTGCCTTTGCCTCCTGAGTGCTGGGATTGTGGACCACCATGCCAAGTCAGAATCCACGTCTTTTAAAACTGCCTCTACATGATACTGAGGACTAAGCACCCACCTTGGAAAGCACAAAAATTCACATTCACTGGGGCTTTCCTAGGTCAGTCCCCACCACTCATCACATTACCTGTGATTAGATGCACACGTTATAATGAAATAACAGTGTGCTCCAAAATAGCATCCAAATTAAGATCTCTGAAAGGTAATCCTAATGCTTTTTTTTTTTTTTTATCACGGAAGTCCTTTGATTCCAGGTAACACATCAATTTAAGATCCATGAAGAGAATTCATTTTAAATATACTGGAATATCTGAAGAAACCCATTGTCAGGAATGCTGCCTGGCCGCAGAAGATTCTGGGTTTCATGGTTTCTCCACCCTTCTGGAGTTTAGTTTTTCTTTGTGCCTTTGTCACACTTGCCTCCCTGAAGACAGCAAAGCTGATCTACTCTTGAGGCAGGAGATGGCAGTGCTGCTGTCCATGAGTTTTGGCATTTCAATCTCTACTTAAAAGTCTGGCTCAGAGAGACTTCTGAGTATTTCCCCCAAACTCTTGGAGGAGCACTGAATGGCCCATATGGAGTTTAAACTCATGCCAGTTCTACTCACAGAAGCCAGAAGGGCAGAATCACATCTGAATAAACTAACTGGGGCTTTTAACTCAGATGTTAAGAGCATATATTGCTCTTGCAGAGGATCTGAGTTCAAGTCCCAGCACCCACAGTGGGGAGCACAGAAGCACCTGTATGCCAACTCCAGGGGATCCAATGCACTCTTTGGCCTCCACTTGAACTAGCACTCACATGCACACACACACACACACACACACACACATGTTTTAAATAATAAAAAGAATCTAAATTAACTAGTCAAGGGCAATCTCTGCCTATCAGGAGAGGCCAGCTTCAAAGGGTCATTCTGAGCAGAGCAGTTGTCCCCCTAAGGAAGCCACTACAGCCTGTAAGCTCAGGGCATCCAATCAGCACACACAGAAAAGGGAATCCTCTATAATCCCACCCATTAGCTACTACAGACATGAAGTCATTGAATACTTACCACCAAAATTAGTTTGCTCCGACTTCCATGTTTTTTTTTAATCTTTTATGTGTGTATGTGTATATATATATATGTGTGTGTGTGTGTGTGTGTGTGTGTGTGTGTGTGTGGTGTAGGTACATATTCATGTGGGTGAGTGAACATGTGTGGACTCACCCATATGTGCATATGTGGAGGCCAGAGGTCACATGAGTGTTTTTCCCTATTGCTCTCATTGCTTTCCTATTGCTCTCACTGAACTTGAGCTCATTTATTCATTTAGGCTGGCCAGTCATGGATCTCTAAGGATCTGCCTCTACACACACATACACACAGCACTGGGATTCCAAACAAGCACACTATACTGGGGATCCAAACTCAGGTCTTTGTGTTTGTATGGCAAGCACTTTACCAACTGAGCCATCTCTCCAGCCCCCAACTTTGCTATGTCTTTTAATTTTCAATATTGTTATTACTTTCAGTGCCTTGTGACATACATTTCTGTACAGTGATCTGTCTTTCTTTCCTTCATCCCAGCATTGGAGGACAGAGACAGGCAGATCTGAGAGCTCAACAGCCAGTCAGCCTAGGCTGAAGAGCAAAATTCCAGTTCAGTGAGAGACCATGTCTCAATGCAATAATAAAGACCGTGACAGAGAGATGCCCTACATTTTTCTTTGGCCTCTGCATGAGCACACAACCAGCACTCACATGTACCATGTGTATTCACACATACACAATACCCCACAAATTTTATATATATGCATATATATGTATATATGATGTATACATATGGTAAAATTAGGTAATACAATAACATTATTTCTACAGACCTTTTTCAAAATTTTTCCTCTTATTTCTTTTTTATGACCTGGTATTGGGACAGACAGAATGAATGCTTAATGTCTCCCCCAAATTCATGTTAAAATCCTAATCCCCAAGGTGATGGCATTAAGAGGTGAGGCCTTTGGGGGGTGATTGTGTCCTTATGCAATGTCATATCATTGTGCCCCTCTCCTGTAGAAAACTTATCCTAAGTGAATCTTCACATTTATCTGTGTGATTTGGCTAATTTGCCTCCTTGTGAGAATGTGATCTTCATAAGATATCAATTACCCTTCCCCTCAAATAACATGGGTATCTAAAATAGTAGCTTATGGCACATATTATGTGTCCAATGAATATGTATTAATTAAACAAATGAATAAACAAAGCCTTTCAAATAATTTTGTAAGCTGGGCATGGTGGCCCACACCTTTAATCCCAGCACTTGGGAAGCAGAGGAAGGTGAATCTTGGTGAGTTCTAGGTTAGCCTGGATTACATGATGAGTTCAGGCCAGCCAGGGCTACATAGTGAGATCCTGTGTCAAAAAAATATTCTGTGATACTTGGAACTATTGTTAAGATAGTTATTTTTGCCTAAAACTCAACTCAATAATACCATTTTCCAAGCTCCTTGTGTGGTTAGGCATGGCTTTGTAAAAGAGATTAAATAAATCTTAAACAATTGAAGTATCCTATTAACAATAAAGCATAGATAAATCACCTATAACGCAGTTGTAACTGGCCATGCCATTGTGGAAAATGGCCTTAGGGACTTTAATGAACTTCTCATAATAAATCAGAGCTTAGTCACACCAAGGCTGTAAAATCACTGAGTAATCACTGAACAGAGACCCCAGCTTGCCTCCTTACCCCCACACAGATATGCCCTTTTCAGGAGGTCATGGCTCATGTTTAAAGGTAAGTGAAGGAAGCTTCATGCAAGAATTTACCAGTGACCAGTAATGCAGAAGCCAAATTTTCCCTCTCTTTTGAAGAGTAAAGATGATGTCTGGGAGAGTGAATGCTTAAAACGTCTAAGATCCTGGATTCATTCTCCAGCACACACCCTGCTCACACACACACATATACATTCACATATGCATGCACATACAGACACACACACACACATATATATATATATATATGCACATACACGTAAACACACACAAGTTGATATCATTCTCAACATTTGCAATGCTTCTTTGAATTTTATGTTTTAAGATTTTTATTTGTCAGAAATCCAATGCATTTATCTGTAACTCCCTCAAATTGGAAACAGTTCAAATGTTCAAATGTCCTTCCCTTGTGGAAATGGTTAACCAAACTGTTACAGTTATATAACCCACTTAGCAATCAAGAGGAACAAACCACTGATATACAAAGCAACTCAGGTGATCTCAAGGAAATTATGCTGAGTGGGGGGGGGAATGTCAAAGATTTACATATTATATGACTCCACTTATTAAACAGCCTCAAAATGCCAAAATTATACAGATGAACAGGTTAGTGATTTTCAGAGATTGGGAGTGAGGTGAGGGGAAGATCATGACTATAAAAGGGATAGTATAAAGGGGCTTTGTGGTAGAATAGTTCTATATTCTAACTGTAGTGCCATTAATCCACATGTGATAAAATTGCACAGAACTTGACACCTGGTAGGTTGACCAGACTCCAAGGAATAGACCCACACATTTAGATTAGACTCAATAGGCATTTAAAAAAAAAATATTGCCGGGCATGATGGTGCACGCCTATAGTCCCAGCACTTGGGAGGCAAAGGCAGGTGGATCTCTGAGTTCAAGGCCAACCTGGTCTACATAGTGAGTTCCAGGTCAGCTGGGGCAACAGGGAGAACCGGTCTCAAAAAGACCGAAAAAAAAAAAAAGACAAATATTAATAGAGGACATGAAATGAAGTTGGGGGACTAGTAAAGTGGGTTAGAAAGGGGATCAGAATACGATCAAAATGCATTGTATGGAATTCTCAAATCACTAAAAATATTTTTAAAGATACTACAAGTAATACCAATCATTGCCCAAAATACACAGAACTTTACACACATACCTGTAGAACTGAGTGCAAGCCTAGTGAAATCTGAATATGCTCTGTGAATTATACCTGTGTTAATTTCCTATTTTTGATATTGTACTATAGTTAAGTAAGAATATACCATAAGGGGAAATTACCTGATGTTTACTAAAAACCTCTCTACAACTTTGGCAACTTCTAGTGACTCTGTGACTTCAAAATAAAATTCTTTCAAAAGCAATGTAAGCAATTTTTAGTGAAACAACTGACTTTATATGTATCTACTTTCACTTTCTTATGATGACCCTTTTAAAGGAGCAAAGAAAAAAAAAAGTGGGAAACTGAAAAGAACAGATACATACCAGTATGTGACTACAGGCAACTATAATCATTTAGAAACTAGAGGCTGGGGGTGCAGAACAGTTGCTTATGTGAGGCCCTGTGTTACATTCCC